ACAGGCCTGGGCTCAGAACGTGTGTGTGTGTGTGTTCGCGCGCGCATGTGTGTGTGCGTGTGTGCTCGTGTGCGCCTGTCTGTGTCCGTCAACGGCCGAATGACTGAGAAGAGCAACAGCTGTGACGGACACACACGCGTCTTCAGTCGGTCCTGTAGCTGCAGCAGCTTTGTGTTCATACGGCCTTTTTTCTTTTACTGCCGTGACACGTTTAGAGAGGACGCCGACAGAGTGTCTCCTCTGTCTAATCAAGGAGGTTCTCAGAAGAAGCTGGAGGAAAATGCCTGTTGTGATGAGGAGGAGAAATCTCTTTTGAGGGTCTTTGATTTCGGAAACTTTGCAGAACCTTTGCTTTGAAGAATATTCCTTCATTATCCAGCAGGTTACCTGCCGTCACAGAGGATTACCTCGCTCTGTTTTGCGGATGTACAGACAGCTGCGGCCGACCACCGGCTTCTTCTTCTTCTCGCTATAATTTCCGTGGATGTCTCATTCAGCACTCGCCATGCTGGAGCACCTGCCCTGTGTCCGCATTGACCCTGCCCCTTTCAGGCCTCAGCCAATCAGCAGCAACATGGATGAGAGAGCCATACGGTTTGAGCTGGAGCGCCAGGCCTGTCAGAGTCTCAGACAAGGTGGGATACCTGCACACGTGTATGAACATTTATAGAGTCACACTTGCAACACACGGGAGCTTTTAGAATCTATGTGACCTGCTGCCGTAGGTTTCTGTCCATATCACATATTACATATTACAAACTGCAGAGACTGTTTTTAGTGTGACGGCGCTCTGTGTGTCGAGTGTCGTCCAGGTTTATTTTCTGGGCTGAGGTGTTAAGTGGATCAAATTCTTTACAAGTGGCTGGGTTACAGCTGGGGCTCGGCCAGCCCGCGGGACAGCACACTTTGCCCCGAGCGCGTGAACTCAGCAACCCGCTGACTGTAGCGCCGCGGGCCTCGCAGCAGAGCCGGCTGCACGCAGAGAGAGGAGAGGTCAAACCCTGCGAGCGCTAAAGATTTTAGAAGTCAGTTTTCATTTAAATGTTTTAAAAACTTTAATCAGCAGCTGAAACAAATGTGAATTTACAGAGTGAGTTTCTGCGTCCTGTCACTCGGCCTTTGTTTTTAAAGCGAGCTCTCACAGAGAGACATTATGGCAGTTCAGACTTCACCAACCACACAAAAAGATCACCTCCACCTGCTTGCACAGATGTTTCTTAGTCTGTAACAGGAAGGAGTGTGAACTGAATAAGACGGTTCAGTGGTGAGTCAAGTTGTGGCGACAGACGACCACACAGATCCTGTGAAAGTGCCAACGTGTGCTTTTAACAAAACAAACATGGATGACAACCAGCTGCTTGCAAAACCTTTATGAGAACCAGTGCAAACATTTGAGATTCTTTACATGTGACACACTGTAGGATTTTTTTATGTGACACAGACCCGGTCCGTCCCGGTCCGTCGCTTGTCACAGCGAGCGTCTTTTCTCTGCGTGTCGGCAGTTTACAGTAACGGTCCTTTTAATTCAGCTGGCTGTCCGGAGGGATCGTGTTCCCGGTGGTTACAACATGGACACAAATAGAAAACTGAGAAGGAGAGACGCTGCACCAGCAGGCAGTGAAGGAGCGATGATAGTAAAGTAAAGTTTACTTGTACAGCGCTCAATAACGGGATCACTGAAGCTGAAACTAACAGATGTAATAAATGAACACGAGCCTGAAGAGTTTGGACAAATTAGTGTCAATAGAAATGTGTTTAAAATCTCTCTGAAGCAGTGTTTTGACAGACGACACTGACACTGAGGAGAAGGTGAGGGGAGCAGCACTGTCCATTCAGAGCTGAACGGAGGTTTGAATTGCAGAATGAAAAGAAAAGTGATGGAGAACTGAAATATACGGCTTTACAGATACAGAATAATATGAGCGGTGTAAACACTGGTGCTACAGGTGTGTGGCAGCAGTTAGTCAGGAGTGGTCGACCCCTCACCTGCTGTGCTCCATGTGTTTGTCATACACCTGTTTGTTAGCTTTTAACAAAGACACATAAAACAAACAAAAGCACAACTTGCAAACACTATTGTGCATTTCATAAAAACACATACTTATACTTACTCAAATTGTAAAACATACATATATACGAAGAAGAAAATATGTTCAACAGCGTTAAAGGCCGAACACACAGTCGACACTTACAACAGGGCTGGATTCACCATGATTTGGAGTAGACAGATGTTACCAGCTGTGGCTAGCTAATGGCGAATGTATCGCTATCTCAAACAACAAGTTTGTCTGGGGTTATAAGAGAAACCTTTCTGAGATCGCTCGGAGCAGGAGAGAGCTTCTTACGTTAGCTAACATTTTAATTAGCAGCTTCCACACAGATGGGCCTTCGTGTAAACAGAACCTGTAAACGATGCTAATGTCTGAAACGCTCCTTGGCCGTGGAAGCAACGCTGGGTTACTACTGCTACGTGGCTGGACACACACACACACACACACACACACACACTGTTTCATCCGACTTCTTCATAAGCTGTTTACATCGTTTGGTTTTCCTCCTACGTGAAGCTTGTACGTAAAACTCCCGTGTGATCATGAGAATTGCTCTTGGTCTGTGTTACTCTGCTGCTGAGTGAAGCTACACTTTGCTCTTCTGCAGCTGCATTTGAGCAGTGAGCACTCTCCCAGAATAGATCCTGTATCAGCACATTGCATCACTTGCCTGTCATCTCTTGGCACACATCATCTGCCTCAAAAACAAGTGGTTTCTGTGTGTGTGTGTGTGTGTGTGTGTGCATAGTGAGCGTGGGCAATGTTTCATGATTGTGTGTGTATAATCACACTACGCAGCTGTAAGTGGAGGTGTTTATCTGTGCACGTTCGATGTGCACTCCCGTGTGTGTTTGTGTGTGTTTGCAAATATTATGCATGCTCGTAATGAGTATCTACGTTAGTGTTTGTTTTGTCAGTCCGCCCGTGTTTGCCTGCAGGAGCCAGTTAAATCTTTCCTGCTGCCGAGGGGAGAATCTGCACCATCCTGCGTCAGCCGCGTCCTCACCGCAGGAATCAAAGGAATATGAATGTTTTTTTATCTCGGGCTACTGCAGGACACACTGAGGGACCGTCTGCAGACTCTGCTCGTAATAGGCCACAGCGACAGAGCCTGCTCTCATTATTACCAACTTAGTGGGCAGATAATGTAGGCAATGCTCAAACACTACAACACACAAATCCTTTTTTTTATGGTGTCAAAAACATGAATTGAAGATCTAGACTGTAGTTTAGAGCGTCTGTGGACTGGAGATGAGACGAAAAAGAGCAACTAGAGGGGCAAGTGCACGAGACAGATAAGAGCTCGTCCTGCTGTGAAGCGGCAAGACAGAGGAAGAAATGAATGACAGCGTTATAAAGTCACTTTTAGTTGATGTGAGAGAAACCAACAGAGAAGAAGGCGGCCATGTTCAGATGTGTGTTTGTGTAGAGATTCAGGTTTAGGTCCCATCCAGTGTGACGGTCTGTGTCCATGTGTAGTGTGATTATAGATCAGCTCTAGCTTCTATATTAATACTGTGAAAGTATCAAAGCCTCAGTCCACAGAGAAATGCACACAGCCTGTATTCAGAAACTGAGCCTTAAAACCAGCCGTCAGGACTTCTGGAACTTTGTGATGTCACAACAAAGCAGTCACCAAGCCCCGCCCACCTGGACCCACCATCCAAACCTTTACAGGATTTGGTTTCTCTGAGTGTTTTTACCTGAAATCTGCTATATTTTTATTGGATCACTCAGGAAACAGTCAGCCAATCAGAAGAGAGACTCAGACTCTGTTGATCAAGTGACGCCCAGTGGGGTGTGAGCCCATGGCGTAGAAACGCTGTGTCGTGGAAAGATGAGATACACTTTGAATGTCATCGGGGCGATTGACTTCAGCCCAGGAGGTACAGCAGTAAATTCTGACCTTATAGATTTGACCTTTGACCTCAGCTCTGATCAGACATAATGATCCGGCAGTGAGGGGAGCGGGGTCTGTACGCTATGTGTCTCACATCAGAGGAGAGAGAGAGAGAGAGAGAGAGAGAGATTTGTGCACTCACTCAACTGTTGTTGTAATTGAATATTACCGAGTAAAAACGTGTGTGAACGCAGCGTATGGTTTACACTGTGCAACACCTCAGCCACAGCTCTGCAGTGCTAACGTGTGAGCTAATGTAGCGAGTGCACATGGTCAGGGTGTGTGACACAAAGAGCCCTCTGCCCAAAAAATGCCTCCAGGCACCGTATTCTGTTACACCTTAATGCTGATTTCATGACCCAGATAGAGCTGCAGATCTGCACAAGATCGTTTCCTGTCAATTCACATTTTCATCCTGGGAGTTCAGTCCTCAGACGTGCTGCACTTATGTTTTCTTGTTTTTCTGAGAAGACGTGAGGGAGGCTGAGGCCGTGGTGAGTCAGAGCTCGCTTACCTGCAGGAGTTAGATGGTGTCCTGAAGTGTCTGAGCTTTCTCTCAAATACAAAGTGGCATAAATAATTCAAATGAATAAAAAGCAGGATAATTAAAGTTATATTGAAATAATGCAAGTCTTATATCTCTTTATCTCCTTTATCTGTCTTTGTCACTTTTTATGTCTCCAGTGATGAGAAGTGATGAATGCAGCAGTAAGGTGTGTGTCAAACACTTGAAACAGGAAACTGTCGGTTCATCTGTGTGTGTGTGTGTGTGTGTGTGTGTTTCCCCCTTTTGTAGTTTGTGACATAACTTTCGCACGTCTTCTCACAGAGCCACACATTCGATCAGCTAACAGGGTAGATAAAAACCTCTCTGAGTTCCTCCGACTGTTATTTCTCACTTCTGTCACTTCCACGTTTCACTCGCAGGCGCTTTGACGATGATGATGATGATGATGATGATGATGATGATGCGCTCCATTCATTCTTCTGCCGTGACCGACTTTTGCTTCTCTTCCTGTTTGTCTGTCTGTGTCCGTCCTGCTGTTCAGTCCTCCAGCTGAAGCTGCAACAGAGACGGACGAGAGAAGAGTTGGTCAACCAGGGAATCATGCCGCGTGAGTAGACAGCAACATGATGTTGTTGAGAAATATGTTGCCAGGTGAATTTTTAACTCTTCATTCAGTCATGTAAAATTTTAATTCAAAGACAAACAGTGTGATAATGAAGTGAGAACAGACAGAGGACAGAACATTAAGCCTGTCGGCAACTTTACTGTAACTTTTCGGTTCAACGTATTTAGTTTAATAATTGTTAATTATTATATATTTTTTTAAAAGTTGGCTTTTCCAGCCTTTCACGAGATAAACACATAGACACAGCTGATATAAAGCTGTAGCCACTGTTTTCAAGGTTGAGAAATCTGCCTGTTATTTTATTTTTTTGGCTGTAAAATGCCACTATATCGTAAAAATGCCTTTAATTTCACAAAGTGAATCTTTTTACTGAACCAACTGTCCAAATCCCAAAGAGATCCAGTTCAGTATGAGGAAGCAGAGCGTCAGATCTTGACGTCTGAGAGTCTGGACACACAGGTTTCATTTATTCTTAGGAAATGACTTTAAGGTTGTTTCATAGCTGCAGATTCATTTTCTACAATACAACTTTATCGTCCAGCTGAGTGGGAGATCAACACTTGAGTAAAGAGCAGGGAATAGTTTACAGAGAGGGAATACCAACAGAAAACATTAAAACTTAACACATTGCAGCTTTAGCTTCACGAGCTAGGTGGCTAATGAGGGCAGATTAAAGATTAGATGCACGTCTCAGTCTGATACAAGACGATTCAACATTCTCCGACATGTCGTGTAAGTAAGTGAAACGAACAGCCCCGTAAACAGTTTCAACTAAACATGAACATGTAACGTTAACGAGGGGCCGTCGTGTTGAACTGCATCAGCTTCAGCTCGCGGTGCTGGAACCGCGAGCTGAAGCTGAGGTTCGTCATTCGGTCGGCGGCGATCTCTGCCTGTGAGAACCTGTTGTGTCGCTTCAGTTCTTTTTTTCTTTTTTTTTTTACCCCTCAGCAGTTTAGATTCTGGTTCAGACAGTGCCACCGTCTCCCAGCAGGCAGCAGTTTCAGTCTACAAAGTAAAGGTGAAGCGAGGTCACACTTCAACTGCCACCGTGAACATCCGCTCGCCGCCTCTTATCTGATTCAAAGTTTTCCTCTCGCAGCGTCGAACTCGCAGCGTTCAGGTTCGCCCCAACGTGACTTCTCTTCTGTTGCATCCATTCAATTCAACAGAACGTCAGATTTTGTTAGACAGCAAGTCACTGTAGGAACAGCAGGAACATCATTTTTATTATGAGAGAACAGCTGCGAATAACTCGCCTACAGAATCAATACTAATCCCGTGTTGCTGAATGAACTTCAGCACAGTTCATTTCCACAAATACTGAAGTTCATAGTTGGTCTCACAATAGTCTCACAGCTTATTCAATTTCAATTTTTCATACATTGTCACACAGGAAGTGCGGTGTGCTGTGCGTCTTATCTGCTAGTTGTGGTGAAGGCTTTAATAAGCTGCCTGAAAACTGTTTATGGGAACTGTTTTATCAGTCCACCTTGCTGTTTGCAGGGTTATATTCTGTTCAGCATCACAAATACACACACAGACTGTTTTTCTTTTTATAGCCGTTACAATACAACACCCAGGTCTTATCTGCTGGGACAGCACGGCGGGAGGGCGACGGTAAAAGGAAAAGATCCAAAGTAAAATTTTACCATCGTTAACGGTGAGGGGGACAAACTGTACGGCTGAGTTTCTTATTATCCGTGTAGGGAGCATATACGTGCTGGTGTAAGAGAGAGAGAGAGAGAGAGAGAGAGACGGTTTTGCAGCGGCGATGAAGGCCGAGCGTGACCAGAGGAAGTGTCATCACGGCTTTCGTGTCTTGACTTCTGCCGGACCTCTGTGAAGGAACTGGCTGATGAAAACGTTTGGTTTCAGAGGAGGCCTGAGACGTGATGAGGGTCACGTGATGGAGAAGGTCGGCTGCGTAGTCGCTCTCATCAGCTGGAGGCCGAACTTCAAGCTGCAGGACCTGGAGGTGTGACGGTTGTTGTCACATCTGTAAATAGTGTGCATGTGAATATCCGAGTTGTAACCACGACACATTTTCCTGAAAGATCCGATTTTGTGGGCGGTTTTTGCCTTTTATTTTGAAAACCAGTGAGAGAGAGAGAGAGGCAGGAAAGGCGGATTCAAGCCTGGGCCGCTGTCGGTGGGACTGAGCCGTCACTGTACACGCAGGTGATCCAGCGGGACGCCACAGAAGAGTCGGCTGCCGATCGTTCCCTTTGAACGTGGCACAAGTTTAGGTCATGGGTCAGAAATGCTGGTGCATCCTGGTGCCTACATTACCCACAGTCCAACTTGACTGGCTGAGCTTTGGGTCGGACATTCGTTTGTGTTATGCTAGTAGCCTGAAGCAGAGATGAGGAGGGGGTTAACGCCGAGCCCACGTCTTTCTAACTCCTCAACCGACGCCGCCTCTGGTGACATCACCTGAGGCGGTTTGTCAGATCTCGCCCCGCTCCCCGTGGAGCAGTCAAAGGCTTTACGCAACTTTTTTTCAGGAGCCGTAAAACAGACTTTGATGCGTAAAAAATCCCCCTGTTGACTTAAAAACAGGACTTTAGTTCTGTGAAGGTCAGAGTGAGGCCGGACCATCAGTCACTGACATTTCAGCTGCCATCGCCCGCCACGTGACCTTTATCGTATTGTCCATTCGGTCCCTGACGGGGACGGAAGGCAGGGGGACGAGTGACATCACAACATCTCTCCGACTCCCTCCTCCTCATCCTCAAGTCTTCCCTCCTCCTCTCCTTCTTCTTCTTCTTCTTCTTCTTCTTCTTTCCTGTCTCCTGTGTGCTACAGCCTCTCCGTCCTCGCTTCATCCTTCCCTCTCTCTCTCTCTCTCTCTCTCTGTTTTACACTGTCGTTTCACTCTCTGCACTCTGCACTTTATCTCCTGACCTTTGACCTCTTCCCTTCGGTCCGTTCCTCTCGCCGTCTTTTCACCTTTTCATCCACTTCGGTGTGTGTTTTCTATCTTCCCTTTACTCATCAGAATACTTCTCACTACACCACATCCTCTTCTTTCATAAAACATCAGACCTCAGAGGAAGTGCCCTCCCTCCCCCTCCCTCCCTCCTCCTCCCTCCCCCCATCATCTCACAAGCAGCCACATAAGCTTTCTCTCTCTCTCTCTCTCTCTCTCTCTCTCTCTCTCCATTCATCTGCCTGTCATTGATTTTTTATTTTTTTATTTCCCTTCTCTATTCTCCGTCCTGCTTTCTTTCAGATTCATGAAAACTTTTTATTTTTCTTTGCTATTAGCTCGTAGCGTGCTAACAGAGGCCTTGTAACAATCCCAGTGACAGTTCTTGTTCTGTTTGCAGTGTTTGAGCGGCATTTCTTCATTTCCTTCACCTGCCTTTATTTTTTATTTAATTTTTTTATGAGAATTTGCTGATTGTAATCTTCGTGGCCTGTCACCTGATCTGTGTGTGTGTGTCTGCAGCTGCGTGTTTAGCGGTGAGTGTTTATTTCGACACAGTGCTATACTAAGCCCTGTGTGATACCTTCCACTGGTGTCACACTATGATATTTATACCCTTCAAAGAAAAACACAAATGCATAAAGAAATACTTGAGGTTTCTCACTTTATGCTCATCTACACGTGGGTGTCAGTTATTTCCAAACACATGTTAGTAAAAGCAAAAGAAAAGAGCAGAAAGAGACGGAGTCTCTGTTATTTCTGTAAAGTGTTTTTGAAGTAAACACAGAGTGAGAAGCTTTAATACTTGTTTAATGCTCATAAGTTTAGACTGTGATAATGGCAAAGTAACTGCTGATTCATGAGGATAAACTTCACTACAGGTGGATTAATGACCCTGCGAGGTCTCAGGCCGTTTTCTCCATGTCTGCATTATTATATTATTATTATTATTATGTCTGCAGAGCGTTGAGGTAAATCTGCCCTAGTGACTCTGATGGCTGGAGAGACGGTTTCTTTGCTCTGCTTTAGTTGTGAGTCGGTGAGTCGGTGAGTTGTGCACGTGTATAAGAACCAGGTTTTCTGTTTCCTGGTGGAGGTGGAAGAGAGAGAAGCGATGCTGCTTAGCTCCAGCAGGGTGAAGAAGCCGTGATGGAGCCGCTCGTGCACATAACGAGGTCTTTCCTCTCTGACCTCATCCCACCACCCTCCATTTCCTCCCCTTCGTTTGCCCGTCGGTCTGTTGTTCCATTTCTCTTCCAGCTGCCTCTCTCCGTTTATCTCCACTCCTCGTCTTCCCTCCTTTTCTGGTTCTCCATCTTCTTCCTCCCCATTTCTATCTTTTCTGCTGCTGCTTCCCAAAACCTTACTCTGTGCTCATCCATCCATCCCTCCTTCCTTCCTTCCCTCCATCCCACTGCTTATTCCCCATGTAGCTGATTGACAGGCAGGTTCATACGCCCTCAGGGAGACCACACGACCCCCCTGTGGATGGGTGAGAGGTTTAGGAGGGTTGATGTCCCCCGGGGGTTCGCAGGAGTGAGTGTGTCCCAGCAGCGTGACAGTGCTCAGCGACGTGAACTGAGGCTTGAGCAGGTACCAGCGGTCTTGCCCCGGGGTTGCTAATCCAGTCACACTGCTGGTGTGTATGTGCAGGAAGTGTGTGTGCGTGTGTGTGCGTGTGTGTGTGTACAGTGCAGTCAGAAAGTGTTAAGGCAGCGTCACGGTCAGATCTGAAATGAAACTGTGACTGTGGAATTAAAGGTGCTGACTCTCTCCTGTAATTTGAGGGTGTTTACTTCCTGACAAGTGTCTGGTGTCCGGCGATTAAAGCGTGCACTCAGTTTGGGGTGGCGTTCGTCCCGCTGCTCGGCCGACGTCCTGTCTGTACGTTCAACATGATGATGATAATGTCCTACAGTGGAAGTACAAAGGCCCACACATCACACACAGGCCACCTGACGTTGTCACACCTTGATATCTCCCCAGAGTTGCACCAGGGTCGACGGTCAGTTACTGAATTCAAGAACCAAAACACAAACTAACCAGATAACTCTTCTGTTAAGATCCCTGTTGCAGCAAGTTCATTTTATTTTGAGTTTTTCTTTTCCATCAATAAAAGGAAGAAGATTTACTTTCCAGCAGAACGTCACAAATAATCAACAGACTAAATAAAGAGGACCTCAGTAACGTGTCTTCCTCTGGTTTGGTGCATGTACTGTGGATGACTGTGTTGAGATGCTGACACTTTACCTGCTGTTACTTTAGCTGCGTCCACCGTGAAGCTTCTTCTGTCCCGAGTATTTGGAACATTTTTGCTTTAATGTTTTTTACCTTCGTGATGAAGAACGGTCCGAACTGTCAGAGGCGTGAAAAGCAGCAGCTTGAAATGTCTCATTGGAGAATCGGAGGCTCCGGTTCGCTCTTTAATCCGTCTGCGAAACGTGGTCAAGATGTTTAAACAGATATTTTATCTAATTTTACTTCCTCAGTAACTTTCCGCTCCTTTAACTGCCGCTGTATCTGAGAAATCTCCGTGAGCAGAGAAGATCTCAAATCGGTTTTAGAGAAAGCAGATTTTAGAAGTGTCATTCATTCATTAAAGTTATATTTAGATTCTTCTCAATAACCTGCCTGAACACGTCTTCGTACATGTGATATAACATGATTTAACAGTTAGAGATTCTCTTTTGTTTTCAGCCATAATGCTGAACCGTAAAGCCTGCGCCGATATGCTGAATTTAACTCAGCATGTTGGTGTCATCGCAGCCCTTTAGGCTTTTAGGTTTCCAGTACCACTAATCCCCGGGTTTTTGCATAATCATAAGCCCACAGGAAGTCTTGCTTGAGTCATGTGCGAAAGCTGAACAGAGTCCGTAAAGTCTCCTGCCGCAGAGAGGCTCGTCGGACCGGACTCCGTCTCGTTAGGTTTCTCCCTCGACCTTGTGAATCTCGGCCTTTCACAGAGCCTGTGGCTCATGAGCATGAGAAACCATACAGCGACAGCGAGTTCACTGACACGCCACTCAGATGTGAGAAAGGAAAAAGCTTTGGCAATGTAAGAGCAATAATCCTCGCCATCAGTAAACCCATTCACACTGAGCTGAAACCCGACTGAGGGAGCAGAGAGACGTTCACAGCCATTCTGCCCCATTCTCCCTCAGAGGAGTGAATGTACACACTGCTATGTTAATGCCCCATCTCTCTCTCTCTCTCTCTCTCTCTCTCTCTCTCTCTCTCTCCACTTCTTCTCTCTTTATTCCTCAAGCACTGAAAAGTTCAGCCGCCTTCCACGAGCAGAGACGGAGCCTGGAACGAGCCCGGGTGAGTGCGGCGCTCCTCGAATCTTCCCCGTCACAGAGACTCCTGAATGATCACGTGACATAGAAGAAAAGCAGGAAGAGAGAATTAAAGAAAGTTAATACTAGTGCAAAATATTAAAGTATCCACCAAAGCAGGAATTTCCAACGGCGGCACTTTTACTCCTTTTACTCCAGGGGTCACGGCTGCAGTTGTTTGGATGGTTTGTGGAAAAAATGTGGAGTAACTCAACTACATCTGAAGAAAATCTACATATAATTTGCATAAATATATATAAGCTCAAAGTAATGGATAAATGATTCAAATAGATCGCTTTAAGTCATGGATCATTTAGATTATTGAAGTAATTCACTAGTAATGGATAAACAGATCAAATATTTCGCTAAAACCAGATGGTTAAAGGAGAAATCTAAACGTCACGGACGAGTTAAACAGTTGAATGGATCAGCTGTTAATGGATAAACAGGTAACAGATAAATGTTTCAATAAGATCATTGATTAACACTGACAGTAATGGGTAAATGATGGTTACTGGATACGTACAGTGAATGGAGAAACATACGCCACCATGGGTAACCCGGGGGGAAGATGATAGTGATGCAGGTGACGACGTCTGCAAAGGACTGAAGTTAAAAGAAGCTCATGGTCAGAGGAAATGTTAGTGAGAAAATGAATTATGGAAAATGAGGATGTGGTTTAATCATTGTTCCCTCTCTTTCTCCAGACTGAGGACTACCTGAAGAGGAAGATCAGGAGTCGCCCGGAGCGATCTGAGCTGATCCGGATGCACATCCTGGAGGGTCAGTGCCACACAGCGCCTCCTGCTTTTTTTATTTTAACACAGTGGTAAAACGTTTCCAATCTTTTGTGGCGTGCGTTCTTCCAGAGACGTCAGCTGAGCCGTCCCTGCAGGCCAAGCAGCTGCAGCTGAAGAGAGCTCGCATCGCCGATGATCTGAACGACAAGATCTCCCACCGGCCGGGACCCATGGAGCTGATCCACAAAAACATCCTGCCTGTGCACTCCAGTATTAAACAGGCCATCATAGGTGAGTGCGTGTTTTTTGTGTTACACACAGAAGCAAGTTTCAACCATGTTTGGAAAAGAAAAATGGGCTCGAACACACAGGATAGACTCACTTCCTCCCACAGGGTGTCTGGATGAAAAATGTAAATCCATTCAAGTTTCTACGAGCGAATCGTTTCCTGGTTTGTTGCCGCTCTCAGCCGGACTTCAATGAACTCCTCTCGCGATGACTTGTAGCCAATTATAAGCTCAACGACGAGCGCTGAGTTGTTTATGATCGATTACAAAAAGCCAATCACGGGCCTCTTCACCTCCAGCACCAATAACACGAGCGGCGTGCAGAACAGCTGGAGGAGCACAGACAGGAGGGGTTGTATTCATGCTCTCCTTCAGTCCACAGCTGTTCATTTATTATTGTTTGTCTCTTTTAAAGTCTCATTTTTTTATCATAATGAACAAATGAGACTTAAAAGCATGAACTCATCTTTAATCTGTAGAAAACTGAGCTGGAGGACGAGTGAGTGTTGGGGAAACACAGTGTTTCCTAACGTTTTGGCTTTAACAACTTTATTAAACTTTATTTCACAGTGGCCAATTAAAATCTGTTTGTTGTTGCCTTCCTGCCCCCTAGTGGCCAACAACTTGTGGATGCAGCTTTAAACAAAACTCCCCCTGTGTGTAGAAGGAGGGAGACGTAATATAAACTCAAATGTGTAATATATCACAACACACCCACGCTTTGACAGGGTGTCCCTCCCGGCCCCCTCCTCCAGCTCTCCTGAACACCCTGACGTCGGCGCTCAGGAACCTCAGCTGTGCACAAACATCAGTGTTGACACACCTGAGCGTCGACGCTCGGAACAGCCGCCGCTGTGGGTTTAGAAAGGTTAAAGCGGGATTTAGTAAATCATGCACGCCCTCTCATCCCCGCCTGACGGACGCAGAGCGAGGGAGTAAAGACATCTCTTCCTCTCTTTGCTGTCGGTTTTAAATAGCCACAGTGTCTGTTAATAAAAACCCATTATCTTTTATTAGGAGAGTTACACACTAATTGAAGAGGTGGGACTCTAAATGAGTGAATGTGATTTCTCTCTGTTGTAATTTGACATAATGACCCTGGTTTCATCCGGTTCCATTACAACATCAACAATAAAAGAAACAAAGGAGCAGGAGTGTTGCACTTTTCCTGTGCACCTGTGGTCCGGAGGCCGCGCTGTCGGACGTCAGAGGGTGACATCAGAGACGCTGGGTCCGGCTGCTCGACTGATGTGCGGCGGGAAGATCCCTGAGATCCAATAACATACGGCGTCAGTGGATTATCTGTCACCGCGTCACAATAATCACAAACGGCATCAGCGTCGCTTACTGTAGGAGCGCCAGGAACACGAGAGTTACACAGTGTTGACATGCAAAGACACACACACACACACACACCGGCGCGGCGCAGCGGTGGGGGAGTCATCACATTATTGGATCCGAGGGTATTAAATCAGCCCCATGTTGTCTCTTCATCGTCGCCTGCTGATGGTAAATGAACGGCTGCAGCTCAGAGCAGCTCCTGTAATTAAATAACACACCTCCAGAAGAAGAGTCTCTGTGCTCGTCCAGGGATCCGAGCAGGTTCCTTCATTCCTTAAATCCCTGTAAAGACTCATAAGTCTGCATAATAATGAAATGATTATATGATATCCCTCTGGGAAAATTAGCAGCAGGACCCCTGCTTTGATTCTTTGCATACTTTTCCTGATGTTTTTGCTTTTCCATTTTTATCTCATGAAAAACATTTTGTAAAGAGAATATTATCAGGAGCACGTGATGAGCACGAGGAACCTTGACATTATTAACAGTTAATGCATTTACAGCATAAATTACACACATGATGCTCCAGATTTCTCAGTGTCACGTCATTCCTCCGAGAGACGCCGTCTGTCACGGCGTGGATGAGGAGGCTGGATTTATTTGCCTGTGCTGGAAGAGAATTTAGAAATATTCCAGCTATCAGTGGGATACAGCGTGGCTCATCCTCACCAAACCAAAGGTATCATCTTTATTCTATAAAAGCGGCGTGACGGCGTCTCCCGGGGGCGTGACGTGCGCGCAGGCAGGACGGGTCTGTGGGCCGCTCGGCAGCGGTTGACAGTTCTGGAGCAGAGCGAGGAGAGAGGACGCTCGCTGCGTGCGTTGTTTGTAGTATTTCACACAGTCGGAGAAGCACTGACACACATGCAGCGATGTGTAGCTGCACGTGAAGAGGAGACGCTGCTGATCGTCTCAGCTGGGCGGACACATTTCTATGTTTTTGTTTGTCTAAATATTGATTCTCTCCCCCCCTCCCCCGCCTCCCCCGCCCCCTCACAGAGACACGGTTTCCTAAGGCTTCAGGTGATAACTCATCATGTGATGAGGACAGTAATGACAGTCTGTCTCCAGAACAGCCGGGAGGCCGGGAGTCGCCTCTGGGTCAGGCGCCGCTGCCGTCTCCCCCGGAGACTGTGGCAGGGAGCGGCGTCCCGTCTCCTGCGCAGGTACGACCCCTCTGCAGAGAAGATGGCCGACATGATGCTGTGCACATGGATGCAAGATTGTAATGATACTGTGCCATAGTCAGAGTATGTTTGAATCTTCTCAATCAGGCCCCTCCTCCAGCTCCGTCTCTCCCACCGCTCTCCGGATCCTCCCCCTCGCTGACGCTGACCAATGGGACGGCAACGCCATCTGTCCAGAAGATGGGCGCCACCTCTCAGATGAAGGTAGGCTGGTGTCTGTTGGTGCTCAGATTTAAAGCTTCTATAAATAAAGTTAAAGTCGAGCAGATGTGGAGATTCATTCATGAACGCTGCTCTGCCCCCAGCTGGTGAAAATAAATGTTAACGCAGCTTTAAAGGTCTTTGTTGTTGTGACATCACATTCATGTTTACGCTGCAGTTTTCAGCATTACTCCTGTTTGTTTTTAGTCGCAGCCTAAACCGACCTCTGAGCGCTCTGCGCAGAGACACAAGAAACCCAAGGACAACAAGCCAAAGGTAGATTTCCTGTGTTTACACGATGCAAACATAACAGGAAGCAGCGACGTAGTTCTGAAATAATGATCTGTTTTATCGTTAATGTGCCGCTTTCTAGATAAAGAAGTTAAAGTACCATCAGTACATCCCCCCCGACCAGAAGGGAGATAAAGAGCCTCTTCCCCATCTGGATTCCCCTTACGCCAAAATCCTGCAGCAGCAGCAGCTTTTCCTGCAGCTGCAGATCCTCAGTCAGCAGCAGCAGCACTACAACTACCAGGCCATCCTGCCGGCTCCAGCCAAGTGAGTATGAGACAGCCGCTGCTCGCCGCTCCGTGAGGTCGGGGGAGTTTAATACGGCCTTCGTCTCCAGGAGCTGACGCCCTCCCTCTGCCTTTCTGCCCCGACAGACTCCAGAAGAATCAGCAGCCATCTTCTTCTTCTTCCTCCAATTCCACGACCGCCTCCTCCCCGCCTCGACCTCTCGCCGCCCCCTCAGCGTCCGCCTCTGCCCAGAGCGTTCACAGCCATCAAAGCTCCGCTCCTCCCGCTGGGACCAAACCGGTGTCTCTGCCTCCGAACCTGGACGAGCTGAAGGTCAGATCATTGTCCCCCATCGTCCCTCACGTCTCCCTCTCCGGACTAGGCAGCAGTGGTGATGGTTGGACGCCGTGTATCAGTATGCATGTGTCACTGTGAATGAACCGCTCTGTCTGATGTCTGCTAGCTGTTGAGTGGATGGAGTAACTGGTGGATGGAAGTCGATGTATTTAAAAGATCCTTTGTTAGCTAAACTTTGTCATTGCTAAGTGTCCTGTCGACCCAGCTGACAGACTGAGAGACAGTGATGGATTACTCTGTCTTTTTGTTTTCTCCCTTCCTTTTCCCTTTGATCCTTTTCAATTTTCCTCTCATATTTATCCTCCTCTCTTCGCCTCCGCTCGCTCGCTCGTCCTTCAAACTCAATTCCTCTCTCACTCCGTCTCCTGTCAGGTGGTGGAGCTGAAGTGCCAGTTGAAGCTGCGTAGCTTGCCGGTCTCCGGCACCAAGAACGACCTCATCGAGAGGCTGAGGACCTACCAGGAGCTGAACAGAGGCGGCGACACTACCCCCTCTCCGACAGCAGGGGGTGCCGCAGGGCCAGGGGCCGAAGCAGCCGGGAGATCCTCCAAAAGTGCTGCATCCTCCAGCATCAGCAGCAGCAGCAACAACAACAACACAGCACAACAGTTTGAGTTTCAGTGCCGGCGCACGTCCTCTCTGACAGGTCAGTCAGTCAATCCCAGAATTATGTGTTCAGTCAAGGCGCTTCCCTCTGCAGCAGCTATTCAGTTGATTTTTCATGGATAAATCGCTTCTTCAAAAACCTGTTTCCTGCCTCTCACGTCACTCTGTGCTGATCTGTGTGCAGCTGATGAAGGCAGCGGTGGGACGCCGCCTGTAGCCACTCCTCAGCAGCTCATGACCTGCGGTGGCGCCGCGTCACCGCCACCCGTCTCCCTCGCCCTCTCTGACCGGCCGCCGGCCGCCATCAGTCCGGCGGATCCCGGCTTCACCGGCGACCCTCTGGGAGAAACGGTAGGAATGTGAGATGTTGAGTTGATCTCAGAAAACTCCAGACGCACGTTGACATTCTTCACTCATCCTACGAGGAACTTACATCAGATCTTACATGTTCTATCAAACCCCCTTAAAATACATTAAACCCAAATCTTTATTATTCTCTTTTCTTTTTACTAGTTCAATGTGATAAATGTATGTAAGTGTGCTAGTACTGTGCAAGACACCATTAAGATGTGGACTTTTTACTTTCCACTAAACTTATAGTCTACAAATGATATAATTATATATTACATAATTATATAATAATATCATATATAATATCATATTAACTACAATTAATAAGCGTATAAAGATCGATCAGAAATTGTAATTTGTATGTAAATTAAGGTTATACTGCATTTCAAGTCTATATTAAAAACAAAAGGGTATATTTCAATACGATTATATTAATTATTATATTAATCTTAAAGTAGCACTGTCAAGTATATTTTAAGTTTTACTGCGTATGAACCAATAATACACAAGTATGAGTAAGTATGTGATCACCTGTTTGTATTTCTCTCTCTCTCTCTTTGCGTCCAGATGAGTTCACCTCTCACCCAGCTGAGTCTTCAGCCACGATCAGCCGCTCGACTTCCCGCCAATATTAAAGAGGAGCGCCCGTGCTCCACCCCCGCTCCCTGCCAGTTCTCTCTGCAGAAACACCGCGCGGTGTCATCAGCTGCCCCCACCGCCACGACCACGGCTCCGCTACTGACTATTGACAAAGACAAGATGCTGCAGGAGAAGGATAAGCAGATCGAGGAGTTGACCAGGATGCTGAGGCAGAAGCAGAGGCTGGTGGAGCTGCTGAGGATGCAGCTGGAGCTGGGGAAGAGAGGAGGACGAGTGTCGGAGCCAGTGGTTCTGGTAAGAGTAAAACAAGAACCTCCTGATAAGCCCAGCGTGTCTCTCTCATCTGGTCGTCCTCCCTCCTCGCCTCAGACCTCATCGTCATCATGTGACATGGACGCCACCAAGGTTACTGTCAAACAGGAGGCCACGGAGACAGAGGAGGTTGTGTGTGAGTCCCTGGACTCGCGTGGATTACCACGGTCTTACTCCCAGACGCAGGAGGCCCGGGAGCAGATTCAGCTGCACATCAAGCCGCAGACAAAACAAGAACAACGTGTCTGTCTCCAGCAGACCGCTCTGCAGCTGGCCCAGCAGCAGGCCATACAGAAACTCCTGCTGCAGCAACAGCACAACATTCACAACCAGCAGCAGAACCGCAATCGTCCGACGCCCGAGACTCAGCAGAACCTGCAGAAACTCTCTCAGCAGAGGAAGAGGAAATCTCACAAGCAGCAGCTCAAACAGCAGCAGCAGAAGCAGCTGCTACAACAGCACCATCAGTCCAGACAACAGCAGCAGCAGATGCAGCTCAAGCAACAGATTCTCATGAAGCAACAAAAGTTGCTGTTGCAGCAGCAAATGAAGCAGCAGCAGCAGAGTAAACAACCACAACAGATCCAGATCCAGACCAAGATACACCTGAAGCAACAACAGGTGCTCATACAACAGAAACAACAGGTGCAGCAGCAGCTGCCACAGGTGACGAATGACTTCTACCGTATCTACAGCACAATATTCTTCTCAACATCGACTGATCTCTTGTGTGAAGGATTTTATAAAAGTAAAAATTAAATAAGAAATGAATCAAATGTGCACGAATCAAGATTCTTCCTCTAAAAGCGACTGATGGTTTTTGTACAGGTGTCTTCAGAGTGCGTCAACCAGCAGTCGGCCTCGGCCCCCTCTTTCCCGCTGGATCTCCTTAAGACTGACTCCACCCCGGCCCTGGTCAGGGACAGCAACGGTAACCACTTCCTGATTGCACTGACCAATCACATCACTGAGAACCAAAGTCCTGATGCACCTGAGGGAAAAGCAACCAATCACATCACCCTTCAGGTACATGAAATCACTTCCTGCAGTTTTTTTTCTTGTATAAAGCCGAGTTTAATTTTTGCAGGTGACACAATTACCACATTAGAGGTACACAACCTGCAGCATTAATGTCAGTCATACCTGCATTATGGATAGGAAGTTTAATTCTATGATTCTTTTTATTATTTTAAATTACTTACCACACTGTGTTTTTTGTTTTTTCTTCCACTAGCGACTGCAGTCGACTCCGGCTAAGCTCCCAGGTCATAACCCCGTCCAGCTGCTCAAAGCCGATGATCAGTCCAAACAGAGCGTGCTCATGGGATTCCAGAAACAACAAAACACAAAGGTGAGGTGTAAATCAAGACACCGGTGGCCGGAGTCAAACTAGCTGCAGACAGAGAAGTACTGGGAAGAAATGCCATTGTATAAGATGACAGTATGATTCTCGTTTACCTTTTACATTATTAACCTGCTGTGTAAAGATTTAAAAAATGGTCATGCTACAGGACTCAACAGGTTTCTTTGGGGGTATTTCCTCGGTAGAGTGGCAACAGTTTCATCCAAATTGTGTGAGATCTCTCGAATATCTGTGTTCACCTCTATTGTATTTGGGGGCATAAATCTTTAAACCTCAAAAGATAAAGCCAGAACTATCTGCCTGGCTAGCTATGACAAGCTGTGAGAAGAAGCATTTCTGCCACCAGCAAATAGCCACGGACCAGCAGATGTTAAGCCTCAAACCAAGGCACAGAGGAACATCTTAAATATTCATTTCATTTCTGTTACAAACTGCACGGATCCTCCATCGTACACGTTCTTCTCAACCAAGCCTCAGTGCAGTAACGGAGCAGTAAGAGAGAGACGGAAACACGAGCGTGAAAGACAACTGCTGGAAATTAATGACGTATGCTGTTTGAGACAATGACAGCAGGCCTTGATAAGAGTGTCTGACACTAGCCTGATGCTGATTATTATTGCTTTGCTAATTACTTTAATGACATCCTCCATTACTATGATTTATGCTGTTTAACGGAGAAGGAACAAAAAGCTCCATCGGCATCGGCTAATTGAGATGCGCAGGATCTCTCGGGGAGCGCAGGTGTGCATGTGCTCTTGGTCTCCGGGGCAGATCCCCCGTAGAATGTCAAGGTTTAGTGGGGCCGTGTCTGATGATTGTACATACTGCTGTTATCAGCAGTCTTTAACCCTCCTGTGGCATTTTAAACACCGAGCTCGCAGCGGGCTAAAGTTTAGAGCGAGTTTAAGAAAGTCTTGGCAGGAGAGAGCGTACGTGTCGGCGGTGCTTGTATCTGCAGTCGCTTCAGGGACACGAGGGAAAGGTTGTGGAGTGGCTCAATTAAATTAGAAAACAAAAAAAGAAAATAGAACTTCAGATTTATATTAAAACTTATATCGACATTGTGAATCAACTGTGACACTCGAACACCACATGTTGAGAGGTGTGAAAACTAGTTAGCAGGTGTGAGGTGTTTGCTGAAAGTAATAGATGAATGGTTTTAAATGAGATTAGCTTATCTTAAAGTAATCAATAAACAGTTGAAATTGTGAGCTAAAGGTAACTGATAAATGGGTAGAGCAGATAGCTAACGTAATGGGTAAATACTTAGCTGGATAAGTTGTTAGCTAAAAGTAATAGATGGTTAAATGTGATAGCTTAGGTTAAAGTAATCGATAAAGAGTTGAAATAGTTAGCTAAATGTGATAGATAAAATTGAGATAAGATACTTAAACATAATGGGTAAATACTTAGCTTAAAATAATCAATAAACAGTTGTAATAGTTAGCTAAAGGTAATGGATAAATGGATAAAGCAGGTATAAGTAATGGATAGTTAGCTGGGTAAATTGTTAGCTAAAAGTAATAGAGATGACATAGTTAAATATAATAAATAGATACTTAGCTTAAAGTAATGGATAATTGGAAACTAGCTAAGAAGTAATGGATAAACAGCAATAATAAATGATTAATAGATAGTTAATAATGGATTAATTGAAACATTGGTGACCACAGTACTTGAATACTGTTCCCCTGTAAGGAGTTCTGATTTCCCCCGCTCTCTGTAATAACTGCATGCAGGCACAGAGCGGGGGCCTTCATGTATCTGTGGACCAACCGCAGCAGGAAGCTGCTCAGTGTTTGTCTGCGCCGCCCAGTCTGCAGCCTTTCTTCCAGGACCAGGACTCAGCTCCCTCAGGGAAAAACACCTCATCACCTTCCTCTCAAACTGTAAGTAATCGACACGGATAATCCCTCAAGGTGACTTGTATCATTCAGTTACGCTGTGAAGGATTTCATTATAACTTTAGAACAAAAAAAAAAAAAATCCAACTTTCCCCTCTTATCTGGCTTTGGGAAGTGAATGAAAATGATTTATTTCTCGTTCTGTCTCTCTCATGTCATTTCCTCCAGGAGGTCTGCTCTAGTCTGGATATCTTGTTTAGTCCTCTGTCTCCAGCTTCTATTAAGACGGCTGCCTCGTCGCCTGATAACAAAGTATGATGCACTGCATGTCTGATTGTGTCTGTGCACAAACAAGCCATTTCATTCAGACCTCTCTCCACCGGGCTGCAACATAGATCCAATGTTCATTATCCAAAATGTGTGATTTATACTTCCCTTTGGGGGAGGAGTTTCTTTTATTGTACCCTTTGTATTAAGCATTGCATCACACCGTGTCTGATGTCTGATGTCATGTAGTTACAGTGTGTGTTATCTGAATTTGATGGGTAATGAGCTGCTCTTCTCTCTGTGTGTGTGTGTGTGTGTGTGTGTGTGTGTGTGTGTGTGTGTGTGTGTGTGTGTGTGTGTGTGTGTGTGTGTGTCCTCAGGATACAGAGCGTGAAGATGATTTTATTGACATCATTTTGCAGACAGGAGGTAAGATGCAATAACACTGTCAGGGTTTCTCATGCTGATTGATTACAGTGGGAGTGAGCCCCCACCGCCATGTTGAGATTTTCAGGTGATCTGTGTTTTCCCCCTCACAGAACTGTCGACCTCCTTCACGCCAGCGCCGGACCCGTCTCTGGACCGTCTCAATCCAAACTCCTCCGCCCCTTCCCCTCCTCCCTCCCCGCTCCAGCTGTTGCTCTCACCCCCCATCCCGCCCAGCTGTGACACCCCGCTGCCCGCCCCCCCACTGCAGTCTGAGCTTCAGACTCTGGTCGCCACCACAGAGGAGAAGCAGCACCTCAGCAACCCTGGAAGCGGACGCCTGGAGGACTTCCTCGAAAGCACCACCGGGAAGCCCCTCCTGGGGGTGGAGCCCGGGGGCCTGTTGACTTTGATTGATGACCTCCACAGCCAAATGCTGTGCACCCCCAGCATTCTGGACCATCCCCCGTCTCCCATGGACACCTTCAGCATGGACGCTGAGGGCGAGCAAGGGCTGGACAGTATGGATTGGTTGGACCTCACCATGGGACGAGCGAGGGAAGAGGAACCCCCCACGCTGGCCCCGCTGGGCCCCCAAACACCCCCTAGTGTCTTTTCCACAGACTTCCTGGAAAGTTACGACATGCAGATACACTGGGACTCCTGCCTGTAGCTGCACAACACACACACACACACACACACACACACACACACACACACACACACACACACACACGTAATTGATCGCTGAGGCTTCAGTATCTGATTCGAGCGCTCTCTCTGTGTCTTCTCACACGCTGGTTATTGAATCTTCAAGCACTTTGACCTTTTATTTATTTTATTTACACACTGCAGTATTGATTCCTGCGCAGACACTTATGAGGCAGGTCCTACAGCTGTTCTTGCTTCTTTAGTAAGAGTGGATCCAGTAGGTGCTGAGGCACTTTGAACTGAGCCATGTACCTTGTTAGTTACATATAAATTCATCTTCCCTCTGCTTTGTTGCCATGGAGAGGTATATCGGTTTATTTGACCTTTGTCTAATTAAAACTCCTTCTCAGCTGCCTTTTGGCCTAAAGATAACCTATATTCCACCACTACAGGGAAGAGATATAGGTAATCAATAACCAAAGTTAAGACAGTGATTTTCCAGCACCTTAACTGTAGGACGGAGGGAGGAGCAGAGAAGCTGTTTGCTGAAAGCTGCTCTCCAAAGCTACGCGGCCAATCCGACTGAAATACGTGGTAATTTGAGGTGACACTTTCCTCAGTCTCGTGTTTTCCGTATCAGTCTTTGGCATCTGTTGTACACGTCTTTAAAATGTCATGGTGGTTATATCACACCATCCAGGTGCTGGGTTCACACAGCCCACACCTGCCGACAACAAACAAAAATGCTTTATGGAAATCAGTGTTTTCACCGACCAGTTGTTACTCAGAATTATGAAAAACTCAAAAGTCAAAATCTTGACTTTCGGTGTTACGGGTACATTTCCAGTGTAGCAGCGCAGTGACATGAAGTAGATGTTCACCATTATAAGTGATGTATAAAAACCTCCTCAGTATTCAGGCATGAGCTAAACTGAAGGTTTAGTTTCCCCATATTTAGAAGAAGAAAATCCCAAAGAAACATCTCACACACTTTGTTTATGAGGAAAATATTTTCCTCTAGCAACAGTGCACAGCATTATTCTGTGTTTGAGTGAATTAAAGTGGATTCATTTGCCTGATTTTAGATGTTTCTTGAAGATAAAAGGTATTTGATAAGGCGGTCTCGTGCTGTGTAAAGCGATGCACGCTACGCACCAGGCACCGAGGTGTGAGATGTTGATTCCTGCAGGTGACGACAACAACATAAACGTAAGTGGTTCGATTTATTCGGCACAATTTCAAAGAGAAAATGAAACTGATATTTCATATTTTGACCTTTTTCAGATTATTGTTCAATTTCTTGTGAGAATTGCACTTTGAACACGTCCCACGTGGAGCCCAGTGTCTTAAGTTTTATTGTTGTATTTATATTTGATGTGCGTGTCTTTGGTATGAAGCTCTCTGAATGTAAACATGTGGGAGTAATGTTTATGCGTTACTGCACCTTACACCAACCTCACAGCTCGATGTGAACTCCACATCTGCACCCATAATGCTTCATGTTTGCATGCAACAGGTCCTGTGGTCAGGTAGGACGATTCAGATTTGAAAACCGCCACGCTGACGTCTCACTCCTTCTCTGACTTCACTTAATGGATGAATGCAAACATGTTATAAAGGGAAGGGAAACTCCTGCAGCTTTATAAAGTCGTGACACATGATTCAGTGCGATGAAATGCTTTCAAGATGAGGATTTTTCTAATAATTTTCTTGTTAATAAACACACAAGTGTTTATTTTAATATATATGTGGCTGTCCTGTACTGTATCAGTACTTTAGCCGGGGGAGGGGAAGACATTTTGTTTCCCTCCTCGAGATTTTACACTGCTGTAATTTACCAGTTCTGACACTGAAAATGTAGAAAAAGACACGTGTAACACTCTGGTGATACAGGTGTGTACAGGTGTGTACAGGTGTGTACAGGTGTGATACAGGTGCTGTGTGAACTGTGACTAATTATGTATCTTTGACAAAAGTCTGTATTGTGAATCCAAAACACACACACAAGTTCATTTCTGATTCACACCATCTTTTGTATTTATCATGTCACACTTTATTTTTTTTCAATCTGTTCAAAATAAATTCTTTTAGCTAGTTTTGCTATTGAGATTGGAATCTGTTTAAGCCATATTGTGTCAGCTGTTTGCAGGTTTTACTGGTGATTTTGAAATGTGACGGGGATGCAAAATGGTGCGACTGACAGTCCAAACCTTTTGCAGTATTGTTGTCTCTGATGGTTTGTGTTTTAGAGTTTGTTTGTACAGTGTTTGTTCCTGCTTGTTTTCTTTGCTCACGGACTCTGGCTGCTTTAAGGACAGATGTTTAACTACTGTGCAACGAGACTCGTCAGTTACACTGTACAAACGCAAACTCGTGACTTTCTTTCTTTTGATGTTAATGGTACAGATACTGTGTGAACAGTCAGGTGTTTGCGTGACAAACTTGGCCACATACTGTAAAATACTGATTTTAAATAGTTAGGATCACATGTGCTGGATTCATTCACCTGTCGTGTGTTTCTGTGGATCTTTTTAAGGAGGAAGTGTCAAACACCTTTCAACCTGTCAAACTGAGGCCTTTTAAATAAGTCAGTGTTTTTATTTTCTGCTGCATTAGTCTGTAAGGAGTCATGGAAAGTTTTGGGCAAACTGCTTGAGTTATTTGTGTATTTTACATGTAAGTATTTCTTTTCTAAAAAAAATAAATAAATAAACAAAACAAAAACGGATTTATTAATAAAAAAATACAAGGAAAAGACGGAGTGGTGTCGTACGTTTTGATTATTAGATTATAGTGAGATGTAGATGTGTAATGGCACATGTGCTGCTAACTGTCAGTCTCAGGATATTCATGAATTCATATTACACTGTTTTGGACACCTGGACCAGAATCCATGTTTTAACTCCTCACCAACATTTCCAGCTGCTGACCTGATGCATGATTGTAGAACGCCTTCATTAATGATTTATTAACATTCATAAGTGACTTACTAACGTTTGCTGACGGCTTATTACGAACTGAGAAACCCATCGCTCTTTATTAATGACTCACTAACCTCCATCGCTGCGGACTGTGTGCACTGGAGGAGTCACATGACACCGACAATTAAGCAGGAAGCTTTGATTTCAGAAAACCAGAACAAAACAGTTTCTCCGTGAGGCCTTTGTTTTGTTTGATGTTCCCGGGCGTTCTGTGATATGAGAAAAAAGAAATAAAAAAAAAGCTAATGACATTGAACTACAAAGCTAAACATAATTGGATGCTTATGTGCACAGTTGTGTTTATCTTCACGCCCACATCCTTGCTGCTTATCGCTGAAGCTCCATGAAAATCACAGACGTACAAACAAGCAAGCTCACGCCACGATGAAGCCCACATGAGAGCGAGCAATACAACACTGTCACACACACACACACACACACACAGTCTCGCTTCTATCACTTAAGAGGACACTGATTTACATTAATATCCTGGAGACTTGAACTAAACATCAGTAACCCCTAACCCCGACCTCAGCTGTCTTACCTAAACCCCACCTTAAACCAAGGAAGTCCAGTCCCCAGAATGTGACTGTCATGTCCCCACAACAAGAGTAATACAAGTAACACACACACACACACACACACACACACTTGGGTGGGTAAAATGTGCTCTGAGCAGGAGGATGACAGAACTGTAGTGTTGTAAAAAAAAAAGTGAGTCACAGGAGGGCGGAAAACTAGATGACTGCATGGTTACAGCTCTGGGGAGTGGGAGCACACACACACACACACACACACACTTCTTTGCCAGACGAGGATATGGGTGGGCATGTGAGGGAGGCGGATGATTGGTTGATAACAATTCTCTAGCTGCTAATGGAGGGGAGCAGAGGATGCCAGGCTAACATCTACTCCACAGTGGGCAACCCAGGCCTCCCACTGAAGCCTAAAACAAAAGAGAGTTTGTGTGTGTGTGTGTGTGTGTGTGCGTGTGTGTGCGCATGTGTGTGTGTGTGTGTGACTAAACAGCTCCCAAATCTACATTTTCGCACAGCCATGACCACGGCTGTAAGACAGAACCACTCTTGTGTGAAGTCAACAGCCTCAAACTGCCTCGACTTCCCTCTGAATTCAGACGTGTGTGTAGCTGTGGGTCGCGCTCGCCGGCTGTTCTCCACCTTCATTGCTCCTTCATTTCATCCACCTAGGGCTCTTCTGGCTTCTCACTCCAGTTAATGACATCTCATTTACTGCGACTTGAACGCTCAGAAAGTTCTATGGATTAATCGACTGTTTTGAAGAGCACTTTCAGGCAAAGCGGTGTTAAGTCCCGGTTCAAGTTTTCATCTATTTTGATTGACGTCAGTGTAATTTAGCGGCTTGTGTTTTCCTAACAGGTCAGAAAATAAACTACAAGTTACACAGACGTGCATGCAAGCACACACGTATTCATTCACCCACACACACACACACACACACACACACACACACACATAAGCATAAAATAAATCCAGTGCTCTAATGTGAGACTGGGCTTAGGGAGGGTTTTGCTATCGTGCAGCCTGAAGTAATTCTCCACATACTTTGATGCATCTGAGCACAACAGCGGGGGTTCTGCCCGTGGTGTGGAAGCATGTTAGTGTCTGCAAACACACAGAGAAACACATGTACGCACAAATATACACAAAAGCAAACACACAGGAATGCACATATACACTCACATGTATTTATAACACAACAGCTGCCTGGCACGTACAGTTAAAGGTGCCCACATTAACACTGGAACAAGCTTCTCTTGCTCTCATCATTAATCCTGTTTATTAAGAATTCCCTTCCTAATGTCTTTGTTTGCTCTCTGTTCACATATGATCAATGAAGTATCTGCTGTATCTATATCCATCTGTCTGAAGCTGTTAGGAGGCGTCAGCAGTGTAAAATCAAGTGTTTATCTTTTATATTTCTGTTTAAAGTAAAATTCACATGCGCAAAACCTCCTTCAACATCGTAAAACAGGAAATGAATCAGACAATATAGTAATGTG